CTATTGGTATTGGGGATTTAGGCCAGAGAGATGTTACTTCGGTAATTTCTGGTTAAGGCACAAATTGGTAAGAGATTATGGTATAATTACATAAGAAAATATTAGTCTGCCACTATGATAAATAAGAGGCAACAAGTTTAGTTTGAAGAGATGTCTTCAGGTTGTTGACTGAGAAACATAAGATACATAAAAATGTGTTCATGTCTCTATTTCATAAAACACAATGATGGTCCTTAATGATATCTATATTTTAGTATTTGAGGTTAGAAAAGAATATGAAGTATTTTATCTCAATGGAGGAAAGAAATAATATAAGAAAGAAGTATTACCCAAGTGAAAAAGCAATAGTAAAATTACAATGTAACAACATTCACTATATATGGGTCAATATAAAATCTTAATATATGAATGTTCATTAAAATATGTAAAAGTAAGAATCTAGGTTTTGAAATAAGTTACTCATATGACACGATCTAAATTTAGTTCTAGGTACAATAATAAAGACAGGTTGTATATCATGAGCTACTTGTGATGTTACTATGATAAGCAGTTCCAGTGATTATTAAGATGCTTTTCTCAGTATTAGAAATTTGTCTCTGCAGGTAAGAAATAGATAAGTCAATTTCTTCCCTCATTCTCTTATCAGTGTATTTGAGTTAAAAATTTGAGCATGGAGGATGTACTCTGCATTTGTTCTGAATTGTGAGTTAATTGTATTTTTGGCCAGTTAATTGTTTTTAACCAGCTTTAGAATATGACCCATTGTTTGCAGTGTATATCTGCAGTGCAGTCTTGGTCACTTCCCAAAATGACAGCTATAAAATACACACGAATTTTCTTATTATACATTTCCTCTAAAATATGTCAGTTTTCTTTTTTTGTAATTTGCAATTTGGGATGTCTCAGCGCAATACTGTATGTGGGAGCACGGACAATAGATGTTCAGAAAAGCTGTTCTCTATTGATCTCTGCTACACTCTGTCACCATGTGTGGCAATCTATTAGGAATGGCATTGATTTTCTGAAACTTGTATTGAACTTTCCTTGGCCTTTGACTCTGTGGGATAGTAGTTGATTATAGACTCACTTTATGACTTCTATCTAGGTACATGTTACTGATGCTTGTGAATATCTTTTTTTCCTTAATATGGCTATGGCTTGTTTCTGCAGGGTCTGCAGAAACACTTTCAATGAATCACATCACAATACCCAGTGGGATGAAAGTCATGTAAATTGCCACTTGACAACATGTTTGGGTCAAAGTGTTTGAATTGTTTCCTCTCATTGAAATAGAGAATGAAAAAGAAACGAGTAAATGAGATAGTACATTTTCACGAACCAACAGTTGTCTTACTACACAAGTTGCCTTTTCACTGATTAATTGCCAGAAACTGAAACCTTCCTGTCCTATCTCTCCAATAAAATCAGTCTTGGCAATTTTTATTTGTCTCTTAACTATAATCCAGCTCTCCAATAATCCTACACCTGTTCCTCTCATCCAGACCTTTCTCTGTGCTTTCCTGACTTCTGAGTTGAGTGTACTAAAATGTAAATCAGATTATATTCGTGCTACTTATCATCTTTCAATGATGTCTAGTCATCTCTGCATGTTAAAACTCATTGTGTGCACTACTTCCTGCCCCTTTTATTATCTTTCAGTAGTTGCACAATGGAGTTGCCATTGAACAAAGCAGTTTATGGATACAATGTGTTTTTCTCAGTGTCACCCCTTTCAACATTCTCACTCCTCTTTTTCCTACTCACCCCTCCCTCCCTCTTCTTAAGGACATTCTCTCCACTTCCTGGAATGGATTCTCCTGCCTTCCTACAGGTGCACCATCAAGTCTATCATATGATATCTTTTGTATTTGGATTTCCTCATTATCTCTTTTCTTTACCTACCGGTGAGGCTGTCTCTGATCCCCCTCAGCTAGTTTAACATTTCTGCAAACATATCCCACACTATTAAGCACGCTGTAGTTTAAAACGTGAATAATGTCTGCAACAGTCTAAACACTTTGTGTTCAAGATACAGCAAGAAAAAGTGTGGTTTTTTTTGCATGGGTTATCCCATTGTATGTAGAATAAAGAACAATATTTTGCTTTCTAGGAACAAATGAATGAATGGCTGAGAGATGAAGACAAAGTATATTATATATTTATGTAGATTTTCTAAAGCCAAATGTAAAGCAGAACAGACTGAGCCACATGTGTGTGGCTCACAATGTTTTTTTTAAAATAACTTTTTTATTGTGAAAATACTGTACAGAGGGGTTACAGTTACATGAACAAGGTAATGAGTACATTTCTTACCCAGCATTGTTGCCTCCTCCTTTGTTTTCCCCCTACCATCCCGTCCCTCCCACCTTCTCAACTATATCCCCCCACCCAACCCCCCGCACCCCATCCTAAATTGTAAAGTTCGTTTTTCGACATAGTGCCTTGTACATCTCATTGTTGATCACAATGTTTTTGACTCTTAATAATTAATTGTTCTTGAAGTCCATTTAGTTTTAGTACTTCATTATTTCATTCCATTTCCAGAGAGGTTAAACTTGTTCTATTAAATCAGTCAGGAGCAGTTTTTGAGCAATTTGGTGTGGATTTGGTCACAGTTTCAGAAAAGTTATTCTGAATTAATTGGTTTGCTTTTCCTTATATAAGTGTGTGAATTAGTCACTAGTCAGTGGTCTAGTTCCATGTTTCTGTTGGCTTAAGATCAAATTTGAGTATCTATCTGCTATCCCTCAAAGATTACAGGTTTTAAGGAAATTTTCTGTATTAGGTTCAGGCTTCACTTTAATATTTTGTTTGCTTCTACCTCATTTTTTATTTTTAATAACATTTTTATTGTGAAAATACTGTACAGTGTGGTTACAATCACATGAGCAAGGTAATGAGTACATTTCTTATCAAGCATTGTAACCTCCTCCTTTGTTTTTCCCCTACCATCCCTTCCCTCCCATCTCCACAACTACATTCTTCCCCTAGGCCCGCTCCCTGTTTAAATTGTAAAGTTCATTTATCAACATAGCGTCTTGTACAACTCATTGTTGCAATGGGCCAACCTGTATCCCTATTTAAACAATTTGTTTTTCCCCTTCTGCTCCCCAAATTATACCAACATCAAATAGAGTGAAAACAAGGGTTATACTGTGGGGGGAGAGGCATACAAAGCAACAACAACAACAAAAAAGTTTTTTTTTTCTCTCTTGCTATTGTTTCTAATGTATTTATAAGGGGCCTCTACCTCTTTTTGAACTAGTGAGTCATATCATGCTGTGTTATTGGTGCTTTGGGAAGTCACCTTGAATCTTCCAACGTATTGAAAGTTTGGAATGAGATGGATGAATAGTAAAGGAGCAAGGAGCTAGCAAGAGAGGCAGGGAAAGGTGAAAATATATAAAATCTCTTAACTGTGGTAAGGGAATAAACTTTAAGGTAAAAAAAATAAACTGAAAGTTCAAATGGCTGGCTAAGATTGTAGTTAGATATGTCTGTGGATGTTTTTAATCATACGGAATCAATAAATTCCTTATTTTCCTAAGTGAGTTTTGTTGACTTTTATGTTATTTGTAATTCAAGGTTTCAGGCTCTGTTGATTTTCATCTCTATGGTTCTATGACTTCCATACAAAGACTGCTAATGAAGTTAATCATTTAATAAGCATCTAAAAATTTCCATCTTATCTTGAATGCAAAGATAAATAAGAAGAGGATTCTGAGCTCATAATGTTTACAGTTCAAAAATGAGAGCAACACAGCAGTAAAATATTATGGAACAACAAAGGCCAATTTGAATTAGATTTGTTGGAATAAATACTCCCAAAATGATACATTTTAAAAGCAAAAAAATCTAAAAAAAAAACCCAGACGATTTATGATAGTTAAAATATGTCGCTTTAAGTGCAAGAATTCTTTAGCATTATTAAAATCTACTGCACACCTATCACACAGGAACAAGCATTTGAGTTTTTATTATTTTACTGATTTAAGCCAAACCTAGCCATGAATACGACTTTGTATAATTTTCTCACTGCAATCATTTCCTGGTGTTATTTGCTAACATGAAATCTTTGTGAAAGTAAGCTTTCACTAACGGAATGAGGCTTACATCAAGTTCTGAACCAAAAGCAAACAACTCACTGTTCTCAGAACATTTTCTTTGGATTTGTAATCAAACAGATCTGCATGGAAACAGCCAACTACCAGAAACAGAAAACTCTTATTTAAAAATAAAAGGTAGTTTTTCTTCCTCCAAGTTAAATATGTTTTACTTTTCTTTTTGACAGAACTCTTTTTCAACTGACCCTAAAACACATGAACTGTATTTAAAAGTGATTTGCTTTTGATACTTGGGGAAATCAAGCATCTACTTATTCTATAGTTTCATGAATTAAGGAATATCTGTATATATAATTCTTTTCTTCATTTAAGAAGGTTCCCAAAACAACTAAAAAGAAATTATCTTTTTTTGTTTTTGTTTTCTGGCTGGTCGTGGGCTTGAACTCTGGGCCTGAGTGCTGTCCCTCAGTTCTTCAACTCAAGGTGAGCACTCTACCACTTGAGCTACAGTGCCACTTCCAGTTTTTTTTCTGCTTATGTGGTGCTGAGGAATTGAACCCAAGGCCTCATGTATACAAGGCAAGCACTCTACCACTGAGCCACCTTCCCAGCCCAAAAGAAATTCTCTTAAAGCACTGATGTAATTATCAGTAGATAAAACCCATTTGTGGGGATTTTAAAAAGTATTAAAATGCTTGAGGGGCTGGGAAGGTGGCTCAGTGGTAGAGTGCTTGCCTTGCATGCCTGAGGCCCTGGGTTTGATTCCTCAGCACCACATACACAGAAAAAGCCATAAGTGGTGCTGTGGAACAAGTGGTAGAGTGCTAGCCTTGAGCTGAAGAGCTGAAGGACAGCATCTAGGCCCAGAGTTCAGGCCCCATGACTTCAAGAATTTGGGCCCGGTAGAAGGGGCCGTGGCGGTACACCGGGGAAGATTGCTGCGGTGGCTGCATTAGCGGCGGGATTCGCAAGAAACTACTGAAGTTCCTGTGGAACCAAAGTAAAATTGTATAAGAACATAATGGATGGAGAGGAGAAAACCTATGGTGGCTGTGAAGGCCCTGATGCCATGTATGTCAAGTTAATATCTTCTGATGGTCACAAAGTTATTGTAAAAAGAGAGCATGTACTAACATCAGGAACAATAAAAGCCATATTGAGTGGCCCGGGTCACTTTGCTGAGAATGAAACCAATGAGGTCAATTTTAGAGAGATCCCTTCACATGTGCTATCAAAAAAGTATGCATGTATTTTACCTACACTGACAGCCCCACCGAGATTCCTGAATTCCCAATTGCACCTGAAATTGCACTGGCACTGCTGATGGCTGCGAACTTCCTAGATTGTTAAATAAAATATAACAAACTGTTAATTTTTCAGTATTTAATGCCTGTATTTCAGTTAGTAATTTTTCAGTTAGCATGTTTCCCGTATGCAATTGAATTATAAAGTTAATTGCAAAGCAGATTATGTTCTGTTCTTTTGCATAGCAATCAGAGCTGAAATTTGCTTGCTATATTGACAAGTTAAGGACATTTTCACAAACTAAGAAATAAACAAATAATGACAATTCATAGGTCGTTTTGTTTATCCTTTGGATGTGACTTTTAAAATAAAACAATCATATAAATACTGAAATGTAGGCATAAATGAACATGTCCTACCGATAAATAATGAGGCTAAGTATTTTTATGTTTTTAGTGTTTTTTAAAGTATTTTGATCTTATAGCTGCTTCTTCTAGCATTACTAGAGTTATACAAATAATTACATGAAAAGCTTGTTTATAACTTAGCCAAATCATTGATTTTTATAACTCAAAGGATAAGAGTTGAAATTTCTTATGTTTTTTTTGATAAACTGCAGTATTGTTTTAAATAAACAAAAAAAGCTTGATAACACTGAAGATAATATAACTTTAAAACATGGTGTTTTGAAATAAATTTAAGTGTACACTTGGATTTCAGAATGTATTTTATTCTATGAATATGTGGAAAAAATTATTTAAAACCAATACAGGACATCTTGTGTATTGTATGTTTTAAGATACTCTATTCACAAACTTCTCCAACCGCTGGATCACTAGTGGTCCAGAACATGATTTAATGTGGGAACTTCTGACTGATAATCATGTGAATCAAGCTCTAAAATCTATCAGGAAGAAAAGTATCTGGAAATAGGAATAGGTATCATGAAATGAATTTTATTGGATCCAAGGATATTTATCAAACACTTCCAGCACATCCTAATTAAATCTTTCTTTTCTTTTTTTTCTTTTTCTTTCTTTCTTTCTTTCTTTACTTTCTCTCTGTCTGTCTCTCTCCTTCCTTTCTTCTTTCTCTTTCTTCTTTCTTTCATCTTTCTTTTTCTTTCTCTTTTTTCTCTCTCTATCTCCCCTTCCTTCCTTCCTCCCTCCCTCCCTCCCTCCCTTCCTTCCTTCTTTCTCTCTCTTTCCTCTTTCTCTTTCTTTCTTTCTTCCTTTCTTTCTTTCTTTCTTTTTTCCTTCCTTCCTTCCTTCTTTCTTTCTTTCTTTCTTTTGGCTTGTGAAGGCGAATCTTAACCTATAAACAAAAAATGGAAAAAAAGGATGTGGAAAATGATTAATGTGGTTTTAGACATAAAATAGGGATTATGGCCTGGCCAAGCACATCTAGCCAAGCATACTCCATTCATCCTGTATGGAGGAGTAGTTACACAGCCATTTACCAACAGTTGCTCTTCTGGCTCTCAGGTCATGACAGTGCCTGCATTTCCTTGTCTTGAGTTTGGTATTGGTCTTAATACCTTCGAACACTTGGACTACTTGCATCCTTGATATCTTGGATTGAGTCAACAATGTAACTCATATTAAAAGCAGGACTTCAAAATACCTTTATCATTTTGAAACTTTATTTTACAGCAATGTTTTCTACTACAAGTACTGAAATTTTCAAAAAGGAAAACAACCCTCCCATATTGCTTATGGGATCTCTTCTGTATGTCCTTTTAATAGTTTTCCTTCAATATTCTTCTTATCTAAAAATATAAGATGATATAAAATAAATATAGAAAGCAGAAATTTGGTCTCAACATGAGACATAGAAGGGATATTAGAACCCAAGGCTGCATAGTATTGTATGCAGAACTTTTTGTATCTCAATACATTTTTTTGTTTGAATCAATTCTTTAAAGATGTTTAGTCCTAGAGATACCAATGGACAAAATCATCATAACATTATGTTTTTTCCTACTGAAAATTATATTCTGTTTTGATTAATGGAAGATAAAACCTGAAGAGGTTGTCATACGCATTTATTTCTGCAGAACTATGCTCTGGTTGAAACAAAATACAGTAATGAACTTGAGATTTTTACCACGTCTAAATTCCACAAGAAGTATACAAATGCATATTTATTTCTATAGTTAATCATTTTATGAAAAAGCGTAAGTCTGATTCTGAAACAATACATTGTATTATCTGTGTGATTTTAATTCCATCAGTTGTCTTAGCACTGTGAACTCATTCTCCAAAATTACTCTTCATTTTCTATCCAGCATTGGCACAAAGAAACAAAAAACAACAACTCCTCAACCCCCCCCCCCAAAAAAAAATTGTCTCTGGCAATATAATGATTTTCTTTCAGTCTTTTGGACATAGGTTCTAGAGTACATCCGAACATTTACAGTCTCTTTTAGTTAGCAGTAAGCCCTTCACTTAGATATGGTTTGCATCTCCTTCTAAATTCAACTACATTGGGAGGTGGCCTTTCAGAGTACATCTGCCATGATGGATGCTTCTTACTGTTGTATTTTAATTTAAAGCTAGGCTTGTAAATTTCCGGTGGACTTTCAGCATGGAAGACAGTGCTCATTTATCCAAAGTGGCAGCCAGAGCTGGAGGACCCTTCTAGAATGTTTGAGTTGAGCTGTTTTCCTAGGCAAGTGGTCATACTCCACCAAAAAGAGTGACAAGCTGAAAGGCCCATAGGATCCCGAGTGGCATTTAAATGATTCACAGCTGTGCTGGATTCTCTCACGTGCTTCTGAGTGTTTGGTGGAGTTTATTTCACATCAAACATACAATGAGAAAGTGTAAAAAATTAGTCAGGCAGACAGATGTTTCGCACACAGTTTGGGCAAACATGTCAACATAGGGCGAAACATCTGGAGGTCGCAAGGATTGTAGAACTGACACCATGAAAGAAGACATTGGTATGAATGGCTAATTTAAAATCCCCAAATGAAAACAAAGATATGTTTAACACTAAGGGGGGGTCACAAGTTTCAAGTATCTCTGTATTTATGCAATACAGGGTGGAATGTTTCAATCCCATTGCCTTGCAGATGTAAATGAGACAGAAGCCATTTTGTTATTTTTGTCTGTTAGCTAACTAACCTCTCTTCTGAAGCTCCGGCCGCTGGTTTGGCAATAGAGAGAGATGGGTCAGAGGCTTCATATTTAACTTCAACAGCCTTGTTTGGGGGTGGTCAGTTTGTTTTGGGTAAGAATGTTTAGTCTTCGTGATGAGTGTACTCCTTGCTTTGGCCTTAAGATTTGAAGGTAACATTGGAGGTAACATTGTATATAGCTGATGAGCCCTGAGATAACAGGAGGATCAATGCCCTCAGATGTGGTATTCTGCATTTACTGCCAAGCCTTCTGTATGGGCATGGTTAGTGGAACTTGGATTTTCATGTCCCCCTTCCCTCTCTTTGTGTTTGGGTTGTGTTTTATCCCGTAGTTTACCTCCCTTTAACCTTGGGTCCAATTCTATTTCCCATGCACTCCAGTCCTGAAGGTCACTCTATAGCTTTTGTAAATACTATAGAGTTTATTGATAATTCCAGATAGGGATGCTAGCTGTTTTTACTTCTAATCTCCATTGTCAAGGAGCAAAGCAGAGTTAGGAAGGGGGAAAAGACTATGACTACTGCCTCAGCAGGAAGCCAGACAGGAACAGATGAACAACACAACCTCTTCCTAGAGTCTCAAGTTTCAAGTGGAGCCATACCTCTCAACTCATTAGTTTGTTACTTAACTGATGTGTCTCCTTCTCAGTCTTACAAGTCAAATTTCAAAACTTGAATACATGCCTGTCTTTATGTCTCCTCATTTACTATTTTTTGATGTTGGAAAGTTGTGAGCCTTTCTTCTAGATTATGGGCCACTTCTACCAATCGCCTGACTAGTGCTACTGATAATTTTGATACACTGGAAAGCATGTTGAATCTAAAGCATCCAGTGTTAGCCACTGAGATGTTAACCGTAGCTACTAAAATATATAGATATATATATATATACATATATATTATATAATTTTTAAACTTCTTTCAATGGTGATAGCTTGACAAACTACGGTCCAGAGATAAAAATCCCTCCCCAATGGTGGGAACTAAATGTCATAAGACTTCTCTTAAAGTCATCTGTATGACAGACCCCCCAGAGATTGTTTTCTATCCCAGTCAGACTCTCTTATATGTTCTGAGATACATGAGACCCGAGTTTCAATGGGTCCCAAAGACTTGGGTTCAAATGGAAAGCTCCATTTTCTAAATAACTTTTCAAACTTTGGAGGGAAATATGAAATAATTTTATGACATAACAACTAAAGATTTGCTCTAGCAAGTTAACTTAAACATATTAATAGAAAGCTAACAAGCAAAAGATATTTGAAATATATAAAACTAATGAGAATTGGGATCCTGATAAAATCTCTCATAAAACAAACAATAAAAACTGGGCAAACCTACTGTTAAAATGGCCAAGAACATGAAAAGTTAGTAGAAGAGAAAACTCAAGGACATAAAATAAGCAAATAAAATGTGCCTAAAGTCACTAGTCACATGAAAAACATAGCATATGGGTGAGATAGATGTTACCTTAGTTATGCTGGTAAAAGTTAAATTGTAGGTAGAAATGTTGGAATATAGAAACCTCATATTTGGACAGTCAAATTCATTGTACATGTATGCAATGACTCACAGATTCCATACTTTGTCCTTTGGCATATGTCATAAACAGATTCTCAGCATGTACAACAGTATTTATTATTGTTTTTGCAATAAAACAAATTGCTCTTCCTTTTATCACTGCAAGCAATGGAGTCTGATGGCTCTATTTTATTTTGCTCTGAAGTTAAGGTTTGTCTTAGTTGGATTATATAGTTAAGCTATAATTTAGATGTTGAATAGACCTGTGGTCTTATCCAAAACTCAGGGTGTTTTACTGAGCACATGGGGTTTATCAACCTGAAGTGAGGGTCATAGAGATGAACTCTAAAATATTTTATTTAGGAATAGGAAGGCATTTTCATGCAGCATACATGTGGTACTGTGGATATTGATGCATTTGAGGAGGCTGGGGCAAAAGGAAACCTTGCTCATTGGAAAGTGGTGATTATTCTCTTGTAATACCAAATATTTCTTGGGAGGTATGGTACAAAAATTAGCTAGAATTCTGAGGATCTTATTTTTTTCTTCGTATCTTTTCACCATTTTAATCAGTCATGGGGCTTGAACAATGGACCTGGGTGCTGTCCCTAAGCTCTTCAGCTCAATGCTAGCGGTCTACCACTTAACCCACAGAACCACCTCCCAATTCTGAAAGTTTTAATAAATTCTCAGCAGTCTACCACTTGACCCACAGCACCATCTCCTAGTTCTGAAGGTTTTAGTAAATTCTCATAATTAATGTTGTCAAACTACATATTCTAGAGAGCTATTCTTCCATGGTCTCCTAGTTCACTTGGTTTGGGTTTGATACAAGTGACTCCATTTTGGTACTGATGACTTTCCTAGGCTGATGGAAAAGTTCACCTCCTCATTGCAACAGTGCTCACGACAGGGTGATCTTTCTAAGCTAGGAGAGGACTTGATCTGTAGGAA